CCAGGTGTCCAAATTCAGCCGCTGTTAAAACTCATCAGCGGCTGATTCCAGGAAGCCCAGGGCAGAGCAACTCTGCCTCAGGCTTCCTGTTGTCAGCCACTAGTCAGTTTCAGCAGCAGCTGAATCTGGAGCCAGTTCCCACTTAACATACAGATTCAACTTAAGAACAAACCTACAGTCCCTATCTTGTACGTAACCCGGGGACTGCCTGTATCTCAGCCTGGGGCTCCCGGTCTGTTAGGGGCAGGGGGCCTTGGGGCCTGTGATAGGTAAGAGGAGGGAATTGCCATCAACTACTCGCTTAGCAGGAAACTGCAGGGCGAATCTGGAGCCAGTTCCCACTTAACATACAGATTCAACTTAAGAACAAACCTACAGTCCCTATCTTGTACGTAACCCGGGGACTGCCTGTATCTCAGCCTGGGGCTCCCGGTCTGTTAGGGGCAGGGGGCCTTGGGGCCTGTGATAGGTAAGAGGAGGGAATTGCCATCAACTACTCGCTTAGCAGGAAACTGCAGGGCTACAGCAGGTTTAGCAGCCTGCCCCAGGAGCCAACCCGGCTGCGGCTCTGCATTTGGAACGTATTGAGGAGCAGAGGCTCAATCAGCTGATTCCCAGGACAACCTGTTAAGGATTTGCATGTTAAGCATCCCCATGGGCTGAGCTCGTACCTAGGGCCCCGCCCCCTTGAAATCGGAGTCTAGTCAACAAACTAGTCCGGAGAACAAAGAGCGTGGCCTTGTGGGACTGTCCGCACTCACAAAAGGGCTCCAGCCTGCCCTGTCCATGGGATGGTTCGGGGCAACTGGCCCAGGCCCCATTGCTGGTTAAGGATTTGCATGTTAAGCATCCCCATGGGCTGAGCTCGTACCTAGGGCCCCGCCCCCTTGAAATCGGAGTCTAGTCAACAAACTAGTCCGGAGAACAAAGAGCGTGGCCTTGTGGGACTGTCCGCACTCACAAAAGGGCTCCAGCCTGCCCTGTCCATGGGATGGTTCGGGGCAACTGGCCCAGGCCCCATTGCTGGGGGGCCCCCAGGGCAGTCCAGGTGGTAGTGGGGGGCCTGGTGCCAACCACAACCGCCCCCTTGAAATCGGAGTCTAGTCAACAAACTAGTCCGGAGAACAAAGAGCGTGGCCTTGTGGGACTGTCCGCACTCACAAAAGGGCTCCAGCCTGCCCTGTCCATGGGATGGTTCGGGGCAACTGGCCCAGGCCCCATTGCTGGGGGGCCCCCAGGGCAGTCCAGGTGGTAGTGGGGGGCCTGGTGCCAACCACAAGTGCTGAAAGCAGAGACCCAACCCCACCCCGCTCCCCTCCCCCACCCCATAGCTCGGGGGACACCAGCCCCACATTCAGGAAGCAGTGGGGAGCCGGGGGAAGGGCGCGTCTTCCGCCCTGCCGCTGGGAAGCACAGAGGCGGGCCTGCCCCAATGGGGGTGCCGTGCCCCCCGCACTAACCCCCGGGCTGCAGCACTGGGGGGAGAGGGGTGGAGGAAGGGGTGGGCCAGGGCAGAACGCAGCAGGGCCTAGGGTGGAGTGGGGGATGGCCCAGGTCCCAGCTCCCCCAGGGACAGCCCTGACTGCAACACCACAGCACCTGAGCCCAGCCTGGCAGGCTCAGCCCATTCACACGGCGAGGAGTTCCGGGGTTACGTGCCGGCCGCCAAGCTGATTCGGGCAGCCGCTTCCACAGGTTTTGGCAGAGCGTTTTGCCCCCACAAGCGGGTGGCCCCGGCCTCGTTTGTGCTGGTGCAGGCAAACCTGGCCACCCTGCCCTTGGGGGCCCAGCCCTGGGCTAGTGCTGCGTGCGCAGATTTGAACCCTGGGCTTCCAGTCTGGTGCCGACAGACCCACGGCGCCGCACAGCCGTTTCCACGCACGCTCGGGAGGGGGCAGCAGAGACTCACAAGCCCAGAGGCAGCCCCGAGCTTTGCCTGTAACCCGGCTGGGCAGGGGGTTTGCTGCCCCCCATGGGCAGTGTTCACAGGGCCCCAGGCTCCCCCCAAAACCCCCCTCCCTGCTGGAGGCTGGTTCCTGGGCTGCCCTGCCTCCCTCCCAGCTTTACAGCCCCTGCCCATGGCCGTAGCCAGGATAAGCAGTGCCCTCTGCCGGGCTGTGGGACTGGGCTCCCCTGAGCACCCCTTACGGCAGGCACCTGGCAATTAGCCTGCAGCCCCGGCGGCCAGGCCCCAGAGCAGAGCCCCACGCCCGGCCCCAGAGCAGAGCCCCACGCCCGGCCCCAGAGCAGAGCCCTGGCCTCCCACAGGGCTGTCCGGGCCGCGCCTCTAGGAGTCCTTGAGCATGCTGATGCGGGCGTAGATCTTCAGCGCCGGGCCCAGCTTGATGTTCATGGCGCTCATGAGGTGATCCTCCTTCAGCAGCAGCAGGGCCTGCCCGTCGATCTCCTGGGCACGGAACTCCTCCGCGATCTCCTGGCAGCCTGCAAGGAGCCAGCCAGGCCGTGAGCGTGGGCCCAGACCAGCCC